TGTATACCGTTTCACGTTTTCTCTGTTGACATCTTCATAATCCAGTCTATGGCCAGCAGGAACAGGAATGGTGAAAGTAGCCAACACTGTCTTACTCCAGTCCGTACTGGGAAGGCCTCTGAAGTCTGTTGGCCATGCACTACTCTACATTTCAGACCTTCATATGAAAACATAATAATGTTGACTATTTTCTGTGGCACCCCATAGTGTCTCAACAATTTCCACATTGACTGTCTGTCTAGGCCAGTAGTTCCCAAACATTTTTCGAGCAGCGACCCCCTTTTATAAAAAAAATAAGTGACCCGCGACCCCCATAGAATTAAAAAGTCGAAATTAGTGAGGAAATTAATATGCACTAAAATATGACTTTCTAGTAGACTTTCAATATTAATTTATATTGATAACTGTTTTAATTCGATTTGTGAAATTGAATGCCTATCACTAGCCTCAACATTCGCGGTTGAGTTTTGTTAACGCCAACCTCATGTCATTTTCAGCATTTAATTTATTTCTTTGTTTTGTTTTTAAACGGAGAAGACACAAAAGGAATTAAAACTTGAAAGGCAATCGATTTCACGTTTGGTTATAAACGGTGCATACTACACCAAAATTGTTTGAGCAGTTTTTCATTTAACACGATACGTGACGCGGAATCATTCCGCAAATTTTAGAATTCATCTTGTAATTCATCGGGAATGCTGGCAACATCAAGGAAAGCCGAGAATGGGTAACGTGTCCATGCAGATTCTTCTTCTTTTAGCTCAGGGAAAATAACGCCGCAGTTCGTTTTCAAGAGATTCAAGATGCCCAGAATACACTTTCAAATTTTTATTTATCTCACAACCAGATTCATCTACCACACTGCAGAGTTTCTCAAACAGGGCAATATTTCTAATATTTATTTCTCTTCGCAAATTGTGCAGCTTTGACAAAAATGCCAAGAGATTATCATGAAAAGAGATAATATTCGTTCATTTTCAGGTTACGCTTATGTTACTGTTCAAATTTATCTGCTTAGGCTAGGTATGCTACTCTCTCCAACCATTCTTTGTCGTTAAAGTATTTGAAAAAGTCTTGTCACACCCCACACATTGTATATCACACCCCACTTATTGTATATCACACCCCACACATTGTATAACACAACCCTCATATTGTACATCACACCCCACACATTGTATATCACACCCCACACATTGTATATCACACCCCACACATTGTATATCACACCCCACACATTGTATATCACACCCCACACATTGTATATCACACCCCACACATTGTATATCACACCCCACACATTGTATATCACACCCCACACATTGTATATCACACCCCACACATTGTATATCACACCCCACACATTGTATATCACACCCCACACATTGTATATCACACCCCACACATTGTATATCACACCCCACACATTGTATATCACACCCCACACATTGTATATCACACCCCACACATTGTATATCACACCCCACACATTGTATATCACACCCCACACATTGTATATCACACCCCACACATTGTATATCACACCCCACACATTGTATATCACACACCCCACATATTGTATATCACACCCCACACATTGTACATCACACACCCCACATATTGTATATCACACCCCACACATTGTACATCACACCCCACATATTGTATATCACACCCCACACATTGTACATCACACACCCCACATATTGTATATCACACCCCACACATTGTACATCACACACCCCACATATTGTATATCACACCCCACACATTGTACATCACACACACCACACATTGTATATCACACCCCACACATTGTACATCACACACCCCACATATTGTATATCACACCCCACACATTGTACATCACACACCCCACATATTGTATATCACACCCCACACATTGTACATCACACACACCACACATTGTATACCTGACCGCCGCGCACTCACAATAATTAAAACAATATCGGTGTTAATTTTAATCATATTTTTAAAAATTACCAGCAGAAAAAAAATCAATTTCACCTGTTACTGGCAAAGCGTGTCAAATCTACAACGGTTGGTTGATGAAAGGAAATTAATAAAATTCTCATCTGAAACATTTTGATAGTGGTTAGCCAGTGAATAACGAAGCGTTCTCAAAGTAATTCAAATATCTAATACATTTTTAAACACAAGGCAACGTTTAAAACACAACATTTACCATATGTGCGTGTGTATCCAAGTGAGAACCTGCAAATAAATTGAGGTGAAATTTATTATCATTTTTATCATAAAAATATTCGAGAACAAAATAGTATATTATATTCAGATAATTATTTTTAATGAAGAAATCATTTGTAAATTTTTAGCTGTTCATCAGAATGCTGCTAAATTTATATCTTACAAGGAAGACAAGTATCTTATTAACTTTTATGTTGATGCCGTTTACATTGTCTATAGTCACCATGTAACTATTTCTGATGCCGATGACTTGCACAGTACCTAACATCGCCAACTGAATCGTTATATAGTCAGTATTTATTCCAGATTTTTTTTCTCCGGGAGGGGGGGGGGGCGCTGGATATTTTCGAGGAGGTGGACTAAAACGGGAGGGTGGGGGGCGGACACAGGGTAAATTTATATATTTTCTATATAAATTTCCATTTCGTCCGGGAGGGGGGGGGGATGCCTGAAAGAAGGATTCCCCCCCCCCCCCCCCCCCCCCCCCCGTCACAACAAATTTTGAGTTGGTTGAATACTGATCTTGCCTTGCCCGTCCTTATTTTTATGTCTGCTTCTGTCCCGCCCTGCTTATCAACAATACTTCCAAGGTAGGTGAATTTATCCACTTCTATTAGGGCCTCTTCTGCCAATGTTATAAGGTTGCTGCTTGATGCATTGACTTTGAGAGCCTTACTTTTCCCTTTTGATTTCCCCCTATTGATGTTCAGGCATGTAACAAAATTAGCAACACTTAATTTTATCTTGCTATTGCTGTTGTGCGTGAGAAAGAAGAGACCATCCAGCTGGCTCCACAGTGTCCACTGTATACAGAGGCGTAGCGAGAGGGGGGGGTGCGGACCGCACCGGGTGACACCATTTAGGGGGGAGGTGACACCAAGGCAAAAAATAGCAAAATATATAGAGAAAAACTTGAGGGGGGGTGCTAATCGAAAACTTGGGGGGGGGGGGCGCAAATCTGAAGTTTGAGGGGAGGGGGGGGGTGCAAATCGAAAACTTGAGGGAAAATTTGAAAGTTTGTCCCCGGAAAGGGTCGCTACGCCTCTGGGTGGTGACACTATTAAGTGCCGCACCCGGTGACACCCGACCTCGCTACGCCACTGACTGTATAACGTTTCACTTTTTCTCTGTTGCCATTCATAATCCAGTCTATGGCCAGCAGGAACAGGAATGGTGAAAGTAGGCAACCCTGCCTTACTCCGGTCCGTACTGGGAAGGCCTCTGTAGTCTGTTGGCCATGCACCATTCTACATTTCAGACCTCCATAGGAGGACATGATAATGTCGACTACTTTCTGTGGCATATTATAGTGCCACAACAATAACGTCACCGACTGTCTATATGGGCTATCAACGGTCTTCTTCTCGAAAACTTTGAAATTAAATGTAGAGACGAGTTCCACTCTTGGGTTTGTTCAATGTTGATGTGATCGGTGGAGATTTAGTCTGAGTCTAAGCATGATCTTTCCTTTCTAAAGTCCGCCTGTTGATCTCAAACTTGGGGGGTCTATCCCTTCCTTTCATCGTGTTTAATAATAATCTGTTGAAGACTGCCTGAGATGGATCGCCGTTCTTTTGGGAACTTTATGAGCAGTCCCTCCTTCTATTCCTACCACAATTCGTTCATGTGTGGTTGAAGTAGTGCGATACTTGTTTCAATATCTGTCAGTGCATCTGCCTGTATACCATATAGGCCTATTCCTGGAGATTTCCAATTTTTCACTTCAGCTGCTTTATGTATCTCTTCTTTTGAAGGTGGGTTACAGTCTAAGGGAAGATCACTTTCAGCTGGTGGTATATCTTGCGAGCACTCTGGTCTTGGTCTAATTAGTTTTTCTCAGAAAGCCTGTATCCAGCAAAACAAGGGAAGACACAGAACAAAATTGAGAGTTATCTTTGAAAAGTTGTGTTTGAGCTTCTCAACATTTGATGAAAAGTGAACAGGTCAATATAGTTTTGTGTACTAGTACTTCAGCTGAGCTACTTTGAAATGCTTAATTTTAATATTGTATATTAGACTTTATCCCTGTTGCCTGCTATGACTACTGAGTTTTTATAACACTCATTAAATTATTAACCTGAACATTGATCTATGATGATATATTTTTAAAACCTGAACATGGATCTACGATATATTTTTAAACCTAAACATTGATTTATGATGTTTTTAACCTGAACCTTGATTTATGATAATTTTTAAACTTGAACATTGATTTATAACACCTTTATAAAACTAACATTGATTTATGGCACCTTTATAAACATGAACAATGATCTATGACACCTATAGAAACTCAAACATTGATGTATGGTATCTTTCTCAACACAAACATAAACATTGATCTACACCAGGGGTCTCCAAACTACGGTCCGCGGGCCGGATGCGGCCCGCGAAGTCCTCTCATCCGGCCCGCGGAGATCTTTTTGTCCAAGGAAAAATCATTTGTTGGTGAAGATGAGGAGCTTTGCGCAGATAAATCAAAGACATGCCTGAAAGAAACTGGCCCCCGAACTGAAATTTGATAGTTAATGTGGCCCTCGGACTGAAAAGTTTGGAGACCCCTGATCTACACTATCTATTTAAACCTGAACAAAAAAATGTTTTCATACAACTTTATGTTTAAATAATTAATACTGTTAAAAAGTGTACACCATCCATCCATTAGGCAACCTGCCTTATATCAAATTATAAGACCAGAACAGACAACATGAAGTTGAGAAATCTGATAAAATCACTTTATTACAAATTAATTTTATAACATGAGCAATTAGAATCACTTAATTACAAATTAATTTTATAACATGAGCAATTAGAATCACTTAATTACTAATAACTTTTCTAAAATGAGCTAACCATTCTGAGACCTTACATCGCTCACACTTAAAACATAATTTTTCAAATCATTTAACCAAACAAACATACACAGAAACGTATGAATAGAGTATGTACAAATGAAAGTTTAGGATGAGTCGCCGAATCATTAACCAGAATCCACAATTTTGTCTTGTGCTGTTTTTTGACGCAACTCTTCCCGCACCTGCATGGATTGACATTTTAGAATTAAATTCAACCAGTAAAACATTGAATGTTGAAATGGATAAAATTAAAACTGCTATCTGATGCTAAAATAAAAATAAAAACAGAATATTTAAGGAAATTCTACAAAAAATTGTATCAATGTTAAAATTAAGTTTATTAAGAATGAAGAAGAAGAAAGAATGTTAAGCAGGTATTGCTATCCTAACCCTAGGATCTCTGATTTTAGAAAATTCTACAAATGATTGTATCAATGTTAAGCTGGTATTGCTTCCCTTACCCTAGGATCTCTGATTTTATAAAATTCTACAAATGATTGTATCAATGTAAAGCTGGTATTGCTCCCCTAACCTTAGGATCTCTGTTTTTAGAAAATTCTACAAATGATTGTATCAATGTTAAGCTGGTATTGCTACCCTAACCCTAGGATCTCTGATTTTAGAAAATTCTACAAATGATTGTATCAATGTTAAAATTAAGTCTATTAAGAACGAAGAAGAAGAAAGAATGTATTGTTAAGGGCATGGGCGGGTGTACTTTTCGTCATAAATCCACTAAATCATCGATTTCCCACTTTTACTTGATCTATACAGAATAACCATCGTTGAATCTAAAAATGACATTGTTATGACCCTAAAAACGGTATTGATTTATGAAAAACCGGGTTCAATGTAGTGTGTTTTTGTTTAATTTTTTGGTAAAAATAGCCATTTTTCGACCTAGAAAAGTACTATTAGGCTTCGCGGAAACCTAATGTGTTTCATATCAATGGAAAGGCCGTGACATCCTTTCTTTATTTGTTCTAAAATTAAATGACCAATCAAAATACCTATTTTAATGTGATTATTTTTCTACGTCATAAATTTGTTTATTTTACTCAGTCGGGTTTTTCCTGTATGCAAATTTTTTACCTCAATTTTTTCATTGGCATACAACTGCGGAAGCTAGTTAGCGATTGGTCGTTTCGCTTCGGAAGTAAACATTCCCTTAGTTTCAGCGCGTTGCTAAGTTTGATTTAGTTTTGTTTCTCTAAGCTTCTGTGAAATACTTACATTATTTTAACATATAATTATTTCAATTAAATATACTATTAACAGTTTAGATTAGTTTGTGTGAATTATCATAAGCAGTGAGACGATTTAATTTGTTTCTCTTTCGATAATGGGTAGAACAAAACACTCGCTAAAAATAGATACACACAACTAATTTACTAAAGCTAGGGCACGTCCGAATGCAACTGATTGCAGCTACCTTTACTCAATCTAGCACTATTCAGACAAGCACTGGTGCAGATGTAATATGCACATTTACTAAGAAACTGCGACAATGTAAGACACAGTTTTTACGGACAGAAGAAAGCACTGTTACATCTAGTACTGGTAGTGCTAATTGTAAACCACAGCCATGCAGAATTATTGTCGAATGTGATTTGTTTCTTGATGTCATCAATACATTTCCTCGCCCACTGTGATGTAGTGGCTACTATTGATGAAAAAAGTGTAAAGGGTTTGCTTCAAGCATGGTGTGGCAGTAATAAAAATGTTGTAAACCGTAAGTATACAACTGCAAAAGAATCCAGAACAAGGCCTTTCACCATAAACAAAGACATCGTCTTATCATAATTGGCTTTAGACATGAGACCATGCAAAATATACTGCTGTTTCTGCGATAGCATAATTCAATTTTGGGCCCAGGCATGCTATGGCATTGCTGTCAAAAGAAGGAAACCATAGTCGAAGACCCAGTGAAGGACGCCAAAAAAGATGCCATGACAACAGCTTTACTACAGCTCTAGGTAAAACAAAGAGCGCCAGAAAAAAAGAAAACTAACAGCTGAACAAGCTCAGAAGGTATATATTCAGCAGCACCATACTTCAGGCTATAAATGTGGTCGATTTTAGTGACATACAGCGATAAATTTTCATTTTTTGCAACTTTTTGTTAGTTTTTTGCGTTTTTCTCAGTTTGATGTTTTTTTGTACAATTGTTGAAATAACTTTGTTAATAATTATCAGAACTGAACTAAATTTGCTCCAGTTACTCTTTATATATGTTCAAATAAAACTGATAGAACACTTTTGGAATTTTTGTAAAAAAAAAATTTTTGTTGTTGAAATAGTGAAAAAATTGGACGAAATAATGAAATTTTTACAGTGATGTTTGAAAAAAAAAAGTAAAAAAAACCATATTTTCTTTTTTGAAAATGTAATCTATCAGAAGTCTTAAACACATGTGTCTGCAGACTATATTAAGTTTTCATGAAATTTGTACAAACCATTTTTGAGTTATTTCCATTTAAAAATCGTCAATAAAATCCAATATGGCCGCCGTCACCATGGCAACGGAAGATTTAAAAAATTAAAAAAAATATTTTTATGCTTAACTCTTTGAGTTATAACTATTAGCCAAGTATTACATCTTTAGACTCGGAAATAAGGAAGTTGGTACTCATCACCCGCCCATGCCCTTAAGCAGGTATTGCTACCCTAACCCTAGGATCTCTGTTTTTAGAAAATTCATTAAGTAATTGATCTGCTGGTGATAGAGAAGGTAACATTTTAATTAGCAGGTGAACCAGTAATTAATTACCTGCTGATTGAGAATGTTAAAAATGTCTTTACAGCCTGCCATAACTTGATCCATGACAGGTGATAAATAGTCTTCATGAAGCCTGGAGTTCATCTCTATGAAAACAATCTAATTGTACAAAAAAAAAAAGATAAAAAACATTTAAAATATGTTTCAATATTATGATAAAATAAAACAGATTTAAGTATACAGTTTCTGTATACAATTGTTTTTGTTCTCTATTTCATCTGAGAGAGCAGTAAAAAATCTGCTTGGGTATGCCTGACTAGAGATAATCTTAACAACAGAAACATCTTTCAAAATAATAATGTATTAGTTGTATGGAAGTAATTTCAGTTAAATCGAATATGAAAATTTAAAAATTATTCATACACTCTCTCAAGATAAAGTGTCATAAAAAATAGAATTTCTAACCCTTAAAGTCTCGATCTTTGATGTAAATAGTTATAAATTTTAGATACAAAATTGATTTTAAAATTTTTAATTAGAAACCAGTTTTAGTAATATAAATGTATCTGTATAATAATGTTGTATGATACTGAATTTATTTTTTTAAACAGAAAGTAAGAAGGAACAGAATGTCACTTTCAAACTCTCCTTTATCTTTTAAAATTTCATGAATAATATAAAGTATCTCAAAGAGAAATAATTTTAGATTCAGCAAAACAAGTTGTAAAATATTTACCATAACAGGATAACTCATCAATTCCTAACAGATCAAACCAACCATGCAGAAATAAACCCAACAGACTGGGTAAACTGCCACTCACCTGATCACACCGAGGTAAAATTGCCATAATAATCTCAGCTCCGGCACCTGACTCTTCAAGATTGTTTATGTCCACTATAGGGGTATCTCTCACATAGCTCCCAGAACAGGCAATGACAAAGTCCTTCATTGGAATACCAGCATCTATCAGGGCTAAGGTAGCAGCATTGACACTAGCACAGTAGTTACCCCCATCTGATTGCAGTACCTGAGATAAGCAAAAGCAGAATCTATAAAATATTGACAGAATCTTAAAGGATAAGTATCAGCAAATTAAGTAGGCCTAGCTCACTCTTGAATAAAATATTTTTATTTAATCTCTATGCTATAGTAAGGTAGTCTGAATTTTAAGATGTTTACTAACTTTAACACAACTGAATATAAAATCCTGTCCTTGCTAATAGTAAGCCCGATTACAATTTTAAGATCTTATAAACTTTGAAACAAACCTCGATATAAATGTCTAACTGAACTTTAGGGTAGAGGTCAGTCAAAACCACAGCATTGAAAGTCTGTTTTAAATGTGCAGTCATCTCCAGGGATTTCCTGTCTCCTCTGGGTCTTCTTTTCCTGTCTTGGGTACTGAATGTTGCCATACTATACTGACAGTTGATTAACAATTTATCATGGAGTTGTTTGGATTTGCCACCTCTGATCTGAAAAGAAGAAATCTCACAAATAATCTTTTTTTTTTTACATTTCAAAACTTTGAAAATTCATATAAAAAAACTACTTGGCCTAGGGCCAGATTAGTTTAGAATTTAGAATGATAATTTTTGTGCATTTAGAGATGGGTTATAATTTTCGAAGTGACTACTCGGAAAAAGATTTTTCGCCCCAACATCTCCACCTACTCTAGTCGGCAAAAGATAGTTCTGCGCATGCGCAATGACTAGGGTTAGGGTTAAGGCTAGGATTAGGTTTAGGGATAGGGTTCTGCCGTTGTAAACACACGCATGCGCAGTACCACCGAAAACATCGCAGCGAAGGCAAGTCGTAGTTTCTCTTCATTATGCATGTGTACCTTTTACCGGCTAGCATTGGCCTATAATTTTACATAAAGATCTATCAATGCATATTGTATAGGCCTATTTAGATCTATATAATAACCAGAGATATTTCCCAAATTTGCCTACTGACTCAGAAGATATTTTAATTATTATTTGCTAAAAAAAATCAAAATTCTAGCGGCTAGCGGGCTATAAAACTATAAATAAATTACCTCGTGAGGACCATAAACAGCTGCAAGAACTTTAGTGTTTCCTTGTTCTAAGTATGCAGACCCATCAGCTTGCTTAAAAACTCCTTTTTTAAAACGTATCCTTCTAAGTTCATTTGGCTTTCTACCATCTGTTCGAAAGCCTTGATCAGACAGAAGTTCCATGCCAGCCATTTTAAAACAATTACTTAGAGTAAACTCCCTTTGCAAAAGGTTTTAGAATATCGAAAACTAACAGAAAAATTCGAAACATTGTCTAAAAAGGTTATCAACAAATTATAATAAAAGGAATACAAATAACTTAATGCCTTAATTAGATGTTATTATTTAGATCAATAATTGTTGAAAGTTTTAATTATTTGTTATGCGCATTAAATTTTAAATTTAATAATAAACATTTAACTATGCCAGTATGTAGGCCTAATAGGAAAATAACTGTTTTCCAAAAAAAATTCATAAAAAACGTTTTAATAACAAGCTTTTATGTAATGATGCACTAAAAAGTAGAAAATAAATTATAGACTACTATTTAAATAACTATAAAGAAAAGCGTGGGTCACTTTAGTATCTATTGGATACCTTTACTAATGTTAAGGAAGACACCCACGCTTTTCTTTATAGTTATTTAAATAGTAGTCTATAATTTATTTTCTACTTTTTAGTGCATCATTACATAAAAGCTTGTTATTAAAACGTTTTTTATGAATTTTTTTTTCAGTACTTTACATGTTTTATTTACAATAGAGTTACATGACTAAAAACCATTGCGCGCCTACTGAACATCACGTTCAGTAGGCGCGAAATGGTTTTTGAACGCAGCCATTGAAGCTATTGAAGGTGATGACGCGTGTGGTGTGGTTGGCTAGACATGCCTACTAATTCGGTCCAAATTTTTATTAATTCATAAAAAATTAATTAGGCATCCAATTAAGTCAAATTTAGTTTCAGATTGCATTGTCTTCATGTCTTGACCCACGTGCTAACTGTGAATCGTATCGGTCAAGTAGAACTGTCCGAATTTTCACTCCTGCGTTTCTGTCTAGACTGACGACTGACGACTGACGAGGAAGTGAGTTAAATAAAAGCTTGTAAAAAAATTCATAAAAAACGTTTTAATAACAAGCTTTTATGTAATGATGCACTAAAAAGTAGAAAATAAATTATAGACTACTATTTAAATAACTATAAAGAAAAGCGTGGGTCACTATAGTATCTATTGGATACCTTTACTAATGTTAAGGAAGACACCCACGCTTTTCTTTATAGTTATTTAAATAGTAGTCTATAATTTATTTTCTACTTTTTAGTGCATCATTACATAAAAGCTTGTTATTAAAACGTTTTTTATGAATTTTTTTTCAGTACTTTACATGTTTTATCTACAATAGAGTTACATGACTAAAAACCATTGCGCGCCTACTGAATATCACGTTCAGTAGGCGCGCAATGGTTTTTGAACGCAGCCATTACGTGGTCGTGATGGCGCAGCCATTGATGACGCGTGTGGTGTGGTTGGCTAGACATGCCTACTAATTCGGTCCAAATTTTAATTAATTCATAAAAAATCAATTAGGCATCCAATTAAGTCAAATTTAGTTTCAGATTGCATTGTCTTCATGTCTTGACCCATGTGCCAACTGTGAATCGTGTCGGTCAAGTAGAACTGTCCGAATTTTGACTCCTGCGTTTCCGTCAAGACAGACTGGCGGACGACAGAGGAAGTGAGTTAAATAAAAGCTTGTAATAAAAAAAGACATTAGTTTGTAAAGTTTCGAACTCAAAAAGGTTTTTTTAAATATCGAATTTAAACTGTTATTAAAAGAGCAATTAAAATTATAATTTATGGATGCATTTGTATTATTGCAAGATAACTGTTGGTAAATTATATACACATTTATTTTTCACAGTTGCCTCCCCTACTCTAAAAATATTTGTCTTTCTGCCAAAATAGCTTACATACAAATATTTTATCTATACACTTTCAGCAACCAAAATTTAATGAATGCTAATATTGAAGCTAATAAAAATATACGTTTAATCTCTTATGTTTAGTTTAGTTTTATTTTAATCCCTGTCTTGAAAATGTAATAGGTAGGCCTACATGTTTTGTGTGTGTGTGTGTGTCTTGAAATATATATATAGGGACCACAAAGAAGTGAGACCCAAAATAAACTGTTGTGTTTCTGCTGGTAGAACACTGCTACACAATTCGATACTACGATTCGCATGACAGGCATCATCAGTATTGCACGCCTTATCTCTGGCGCGTGAGAGAGGTGTAGATGTAACTAATAATTCTACACCTAGGCCCAAATACCTAGGGGACAAACTTTCAATTTGGCGCCCCCTCGGGAACAACCTTTCAATTTTCAATTTTGCACCCCCCCCCCCCACCTCAAACTTTCAATTAGTTTTTCAAACCCTTTTTGGCGCCCCCTAAGGTCGGCGCCTGGGGACATATGTACCCCCCCCCCCCCCCCCGCCCTCCCCTCGCTACGCCTCTGCATATATATATATATATATATATATATATATATATATATATATATATATATATATATATATATAAACTTGTATATATTTGTACCATATGAAAAATATAATCCAGGCAAGCGATCTCATTGTTTATGTATGAATACGAAATACAAGTGTATATTATAACTTGCAATGCGGACAGTACTATGTATTCACATTGATGTGAAATAATATAGTGCATACATACCAGAGTGTATCTAAACGATACGGTCATCTGTACATATACCCCGATGTTTCTCATTAGCAGACGTGAGAATGCCTTAACAGCGACAATAAGCTCAACAGACCATCGTCTGCTAAGTGCCCGCGAGCATTTGTTTATTGTCTTGTACCGTCCGTCGCCGAGTCTCCCGGCCATCTGGACTCCATTAGACGGCCTGTTCGGAGTTAGCTCTCCCTCGAGTGCATTTCGCTACTCGGAAACTCTCAGCGAGAGATAGCAGAACTGACATGGCCCGTGTCATTTGGGTTTTGGTTTTAATTATCGTGTAATATGTTGATGTTCAACTACGCGTCATGGTTTGGTGCGTCTTGCGCCGGAATGTCTATGTGAGTCCTGACCCGCTAGGGGGTTAGTGTGTGTAGTAAATGAATCAAAATGTCGAAGCGTGTCAGTTTATTACTACGGAGGTTGTTTTTTTTTTCTTTCGGGATTTTCCGAAAACAAAAATAACATAGGCTGAGATTTCTAATTTTAGATTTGATTGTTTAGTATAGACTTTGCTCATCGATGATGAGATTTAAAATTTGGGTGGGTGGGGAGTAAATTTATTAAAGACGCCATCTTGGTGAACCGAGGGGGATGTGAATTTGGTGCTATGCTACCAATCTAACGGTAAATAAAACTGGCTTTTTTTAACCACAAACGTTGCTCAACATCAAAGAATTAGCCCCATGTGAGTGCAGGGGGGGGGGGTGTTAGAAGGTGAGGGTCGTCATAGTTTTGGGTGGGTTAGAGGGTTTTAGGCTTGTGTAACGATGTGATCGTTAGGAGGGGGGGGGGGGGCGGCGGACTGTATTGTATGTATTGTATAACGCTTTCAAGTTACAAAAATGATTTTTAAAAAAGAAAAGACTGCTAACAGCCCCTTTATACCCTCAAGTAAAATCTAACCCGATTCGACGATAACTTTTCAGGCGTCTCTGTCCTGGGCTAGTCTCTCCAACTCTCCCCAGGTGTACCCAATCTTCCTGGTGTCTTCTTCCAGGTCATGTCTCCAGGTATTCACTGGTTGGCCTCTATTTCTTTTGCCCAGTGTCTTGTTATGCTGGATACAGGCTTCCTGAGTGTGTGGCCAATCTATTTCCATTTTCTCTGGAGGATCTCTACTTCAGCTATCAGTTGATTTGTCCGTTGCCATAGAACTTCATTTCTGATGGTTTTAGGCCAGCTTATTCGCAGTATCTTTCTGAGGCATGCGTTTATAAATTATTGTATTTTCTTCTTATTTGTGGCAGCTATTCTCCATGTCTCAGCTCCATAGAGTCAAACGAACATTCCATTACGTTTTGTATATTTTCTATAAAATGTTCTCTGACTTCCAAAAATGGCTCCTAAAATGGCACTTTCCGAATGTTAAAAAAAAAAAAAAAAAAAAAAAAAAAAAAGGCGCCTTTGCGCACTTAGGAAAGTTTAGTACAGAGAAGGGAAAAAAAACCGCAGACAAAATACAACGACACCGTCTGGCTTATATCGACACCGTTTAGCTTGTAGGAGATCGATTAGCCAATTGTTTGAAGCCGGCTTATATTCCCTGTGTGTGGGTAGACTTGGTCTTTGTAAAGCAACAGTTTAAAAACTCGACCTCAGTCGCACACAGTAAAGGTACAAACGAAACAAAATATTATGAAAAATAAACAGTCAGCAGTAGATTGATTTAATACTTGATTAGAACATGAAATAATAGGAACACACAAACAAGTTGATATTAGAGATCGTGTGTATAGTTTAACAGGAAGAGAGTATTGTGGTGTGGATTGTTGTTGTTGATGTATTGTGTTAAATGTAGGAGGGGAAGATGTAGGTATAGAACAGAGCAGTGGCGTAGCGAGGTCGGGTGTCACCCGGTGCGGCACTTAATGGTGTCACCCCCCACCCAGAGGCGTAGCGACTCTTCCCGGGGACAAAGTTCAAATTTTCGATTCGCCCCCCCCCCCTCCCCCTCAAACTTTCGATGTGCACCCCCCCCCCCCCTCAAACTTTCGATTTGCACCCCCTCCCCCTCAAATTATTTTTCTCTATATATTTTACTTTTTTTTTGCCTTGGTGTCACCCCCCTAAATGGTGTCACCCGGTGCGGTCCGCACCCCCACCCCCCCTCGCTACGCCTCTGGAACAGAGTTATTTACAACATTACGTTTGATTTTCTGTCGTGTTCATGTCTAAAGTGTCTGTGTTTTTAGAAGGGTTGTATGGGACAACATGGTCGGGAGTTAGAGCGTATGATTGCTAACTCAGAAAGTCCTGAGCTCGAACCCTAGGGTAGATGAGGCTCATTAGCTATGGACCGACTTTCCTCTAGTAGAGACAACTCCAAAAACTGCTGTCTTGTAGATTGTTCTTGAGTGGACAAGGGTTATAGAAGCAAATACAGAAAGAGAAGCGGGTTGAAGTTGGAGCCAACAGACCGCAGATAACATATTAACATATTGACACGC